CCCCATCTCATACTTCCTTATACCATAGCTTTTTTTACCCTCATCTTCCTCATTCTTGGAATCTTCAGAGAGGCCACCATAATTCAATGTATAGTAGATAAATACTGAATGAAGATTTCTTCTCAACAAATATTTTAAGGACCAAAACTTTGTCCTTACATCTTTAACCTCTGTTCACCTAATATATTTCAGGGCCTAATGAAAGTACTTAATAGATACAAGTACTTTACTTATTCACTCATTCAATAAACATTTCTTGAGCACGTAGTATATGTCAGGCACAGAGGTTAGGAATTTACAAAGAGCACTGAATTAAAATTATGAAAATGGTCTGTGACATAAGAAGAAAAATATGTATTTGGTCTCTGCCCCTGGTTCCTGACACAGAGCTCCTAAAACCCTTGTAATTTCCTGAGTGATTGGGTGATAGGAGCATGTTACACATAGCTCCTAAATTCCTTGGAATTTCCTGGGTGATAGGAGTGTCTTTTGTTCTAATGAGGTGACCCTTGGGCTAACTTGATTGCTTCAGGATGGGGCCTGGTCACCAGAAAGACCAAGCCATGATTAAAAGCTTGGAACTTTCAACCCCATCCCCATCCTCTGGGGAGGAGAGATGGCCTAGAAATTGAGTTAATAATCAACCACGCCTATGTAATGAAGCCTCCATGAAAATCCATGAACTAGGAGGTTCAAGAGCTTCTGGGTGGTGAAAGTATCCTGCTAGGAGGGTGATGCACCCTAAACTCCACAGGGACAGAAGATCCTGTGCTTGAGAGCCTTCCAGATCTCATGCTATATACCTCTTCACCTGGCTGTTCATCTCTATCCTTTATAAAATCCTTTATAATAAGCCAGTAAACAAAAGTGTTTTCTTGAGTTCTGTGAGCCATTATGGCAAATTATTGAACCTGAGAAGGGGGTTGTGGGAACCCCAGATATGTAGCCAAGTCAGAAAAGTGGGTAACCTGGGAACCCACTACTTGCACCTGAAGTGGGGGGCAGTCTTGTGGGACTTGAGGGTAAAAAAGCTACAGTATAAGGAAGTATGGGATGCAACAGGGGACAGAAGTTAGGAGGTGAGTATGTATGAAACCTGTGAGATGTGCGCTAACTCCAGGTAGTAAGTATCAGAATTGAAATAAATTGTAAGACATCTACTTGGTGTCTATGGAGAATGGCTTGGTGTGGAAAACCAAACATTTGGTGTCAGAAGTGTAGTGAGTAGAGAAATAATTTTTCCTTTTGTAGTCCAATCTTGCATTGTTTTGAAAGATTCTTTTCCTATCAAAGAAGAGATAGACCAGACAGCTTCTTACTTCCTCTTGAGTAAAGTTTTCATAATATGATTCATTATTTTAGAGTATTATAGAGTATAAATAGTCTAAGCATATATGACACATTCAAACTTGAGTATAAAAATCATTATAAATTCAAATATAAATGACTTTACAAATTTGGTCAATTAAGATTACCATACTTTTCTGTTCCTTTGATGCAAAAAATCAAGAGCTTACTAGGTTATTCTAAGATTCCAAGTTATAAATTTCAGCTTTAATACTTATGGGGAAATGGGCTTTCCAGAACACTTGTAAGTTAAGAGGCAGAGGACACCTGGTTATTAACCCTGCTTTCTCCCTCTTGAGAAAGTGTCCCTGCTAACACTGAGTTTGGTTCAAGAACCAGGAAAGTCTAGCAATTATAAACATTCCCTTGAAGCCCACAGATTGTTAATTCTTTAAGAATAGTGAATGTAAAGGGTAGTGACATAGCAAGAAATGAACTTTCCTGACTCAGGGACCCTATCTTGCATGTATATTGTTATTAGCAACTGCTGATCCCTATTAGGGGCCATGGTGGCTAAGAAGCAATGCTGAGATATGTTGCTTCTGCTTCTGCCTTGACTTGACTTCTGATAAAATACTGGATCTTTGATTAATTAAATTGGAAACTAAAGCTAGAAAGCACACATGTGTATATATGTATGTATTCGTGTTCTTCTCCTGTCAGTCTATGACCCCCCAAAACATTGTACTTGACTTAGAGAAAAACTAAGATAGCTATGGCAATCTAATCACCTTAAGTAATGGTAATTACCCAGGAATAAATCAACTATGTGATCAATATGAATTGTAGAGAATGCTCATTTGATTAATTGAAGAGAGTTTCTCTTAAGTAAGGAAAACTCTTCATCAGGAAACAAAATGGAGATAATTCAAGAACCCCTAGGAAAAACGTAGTGTTAGTAAGGTGCTTTTAGAGAGATACTTCAACTTTTTAGAAATGATACCTCAAAAAACAGAATAGGTTAAAAAACCCTTCCAAAGGAAATACTACTAAAAGTTTTCAACTTCAAAAATACTTTAAAAGACGAAGTTTCTAGAACCAGCAACAACTACTTCAGATTTCATATTTTGGAACAAGTTCAGCAAAATCACACACTAAATTAGTAAATTGTAAAGCTGTAAAACTCTAAATAAGAAAGATCCCTGTGAGCTGTTTTTGTTTTGTTTGCTTGTTTTTAATGTACGAAATGGAAAAAAGAGTAGTAAAACGGATTTCGTTAAGGCTGGACTTCTTTCTTGTTGGCCTAAGGACAAGCCATTTTGCTACATAATAAGAAATAAGACTACTGCTAGATACTAAACACAACTTCACTGAAACCTTTTCTGGTTTCCTTATGAAAAAGTGACTGATTAAAATCTTCTTGTGAGTTTTAAAACAAAATTTGGCACCTTAGTAGCCAAAGTAAGCAATGGAGTCACATTAAAAATTGATCAATGTACAAAAGGTTTTTTTAAAAGTTAACTAACATAAAGCGAGCTATTGAAGATTTTAACATCTTTAAATCTCAGTCCCCAAAACCAACAATGTAGTTACATATGACAAAGATTACAATAGCTCCATTTCACACCAAAGGTGTTAAAATTCCTTCCTGAAATAAAGTGAGCCTCTGATACTTTTATGCAAAAAATAAATTTGTAAACATTAAAAGCTAAACCTCATTCTGGAAATGCAGAAGGAGGGCTAATTTTCTGAGGTTTTCTCATTTGTACCTGGAAAAGTCTTGGGCTTGAATGACTTGTGAACCACAATTACGTACACCCACAAATGGCCTATGGCAGACATGAGCATTTGTTTGTAACATTTGGTGGGTATGAAGTGGCAAGCACAAAAGTCATCCTTTTGAAACTTTTCCTGGTGTATGGAAAATCTTAGTTTCTCATTTATGTAAACCAGTCCTGTAACTCAGATAAATACAACTTTTTAAGAATAGAAACATTACGGCAGCCTTGCTTTTCCTCAGCTAAACTTAGAGCATTCAATGATGGGCACATTTTCTGGGCTCCACCTTCTGCAAACAAATTTAAAAGTACTGAAAAGCAACCAAGGCTTTACATAGCAGAGTAACAGATTTAGGAACGAAGACTGGAGAAATGTTACAAACAGTACTGTTACCCTTTTGGGTGATTTAAACAGTGAGATATATTGTCTCTTTCTAGTCTAAATTTTAAACCAGGGATTTTGTCAAAGGTTAGTGCTAACTCACATCAAATTAGGCTTGATGTGAATGGACCAACTCACTCCTAACCACATACTAAAGGCAGGAAAGTGACTTGCCTTTTTTTTTTTTTAAAGGTCAGATGCCTGGGACCACAGCAAACAGTATTATTATTAAAGGGAAAGCTCCATGTGGTTCCAAGAACACCAAAAACATCTTCACAGAGGAAACTCTTGATTAGCAATTGAATGAAAGTAAAAACATAACAGTTAAGTGAAATCTAAAAATAGAACATATCACATAATGCTCTGTAAAGCCACAGCAAACAATCAGTGCTATTTGTGCCTGACTGCTTGAGAGTCACCTCTTTTCTCTTTCCTGTCCATTGTCTTCTAGAGCCACCAATGAACATTAGGTCACCTCAAAACTGTAGGACTTGTAAACAGTGAAAAAAAAGTGGGGCCTCAGCAATATTCAAACTTAATTATAAGCCATTTGCTGAAGGTTCACTAGATATCGTCGTTATTTATAAATGTGATAAGAATAATATACTCTCAGCCCAGTGCCTTAAATGTGATAATCAAATACTTATTTGAATACAGTATTCAAATATTTGTTAAAGTAGATGTGGGATATAATTTATAAACTAGTTTACTTCATTAAATATTTTCTTCTTGAGTTATGCAATTTAATGTCTATCTATTTTATCATCAAAATTAAACTAGCAAGTTTAAAATCTTTGCATTTGCCAAAATTTCAACAATCCCAAGAATTAAGAGAGAGTCACAAAGAAACAAGAGATATGGAAGCCACATATATCATGACAAGACTCAAATCTTTTTTCTTTAGGCAAGAATACACTTGTCTCTTTTATTAAAAAAAACATAAAATATAAGGATATCCTATAAAACAAGTCACCAGAATTGTCTGATTAATTTTGCTAGAAGCTATAATTCTGTAGAAGTTTAGAGGAAAAAGTAAATTATTGAAAAAGACTGGATCTTCCATACGATGAGAGAATGTTAATATGAAATTTAAGTTATACCAAAAACTTGACCATCAATTCATGGCAAATTATTCCTTCTAATAGAAGTGAATCCGAGTTACCTATATTTAGCAAGATAGCATCATAGAGAAATATATAGCTATTTCCACTGCTAATTTACATAATGGAAAATGGAAAAGTTTGCTGTTTCCACATCCCAAGCCAAAGTATATAATTATCTTTGCCAAACGTTCAGCAATCTACAGAGTTTGAATGCATAAGATATCCATAGCCAGGATTACATCTGTTTTATGGACATACATGTAATGGGAAAGATGAACACAGATTTAACCTATAACCCTCTAAAAACGTGATTTAGACTTTTACTTTATGTAGAAAATAATCATTCATTTATTTAGTAACTTTTCGAAAAGTAAACTTTCCAATTATAATGTTGGAAGATGTTTACTATCTAAAGATATGATGTTCATATATACCGAACAAGTTGAGTGGAAATATCCTAATGTTAAGAAAAGTTTCTTCTGTCTACTATTATACGCCTGAAAGAGTAGCTTTTTATTTATCAAAATAAATAAAATTATACTTATAAATCTAAAAACCATAAGAAAATACAGATTTATTATAATGTTCTCCATTTCTGTTTTGTTAATTCAGATTTTAAAAGATGTGCCCATACTATTAAGAGGGGGACCTATGCAGGCTCCAGAAACCTTCAGTTGTTTTGGCCATGGGAGCCAGGGGAACTCTCAGAATTGCAAACCCTTTTCCTGTTCTATAACTGAATCCAAGGACAATCTTTAGAAACAATTCTTACTTCACCAAATATGAAGTGTGCTTTTGGAGATGGCTCAGGGGAAAGGATTAAGAGCTTAGGTGTACACAAGTCTGAAGAAACAGCGTATAAGCATATGAATCGGAAACTTTTGGACCCTAGGTATAGAATACATATGTGTCCTTGGAGTTTACTAAGAAACACTTTAGTTTCAATCAAATAACAGCAGAAAAATACAAGAAAGGACATACATCAACAAAAATAAAGTTAAGATAAACGCTTGGAAATCTCTCTACTTTCCTTTTGAATGTGTCACTGAACTAAGCATTACCTTTTGGCCAGGGTGAGAAGACTGATCATCATCTAGTCTAACTTAGAGTGAAAGGCGCTTCATAGAACTCCAAAAACCAAATGATAAACATGAGGTTAAAACAAAATATGAAATTATTCCAGATCTTTTGTAGGGTCCTAGCAAATTACATCAAAGTTCCCTTGGTTAAAACAAAATAATAAAAGTTCGTTTTGTGATTATGATATGTAGAAGAATACTGAGATAGTATGAAGAGATGTAATATCAGAGCTTTATAGAAGAGTTCATTTAAAGTTTTAATCAGAAAAGAATAGAGTTTTGTTGCTGGTTACAAACGTGACAGAAAAAAAATTGTACTTATTACCCTTTTATGCAAATAGATAATACAATAAGTGTTGAAATTTTTCAAAGAATTAATTTGGTTTTACTTTCTTTAGAATGTATAATTTGAATATTAATGATATAACATGACTTCTTTTAAAAGTGGAGGGCAGAGCCGGCCCCGTGGCTTAGCGGTTAAGTGTGCGCGCTCCGCTACTGGTGGCCCAGGTTCTGATCCAGGCGCGCACCAACACACCGCTTCTCAGGCCACGCTGAGGCAGCGTCCCACATACAGCAACTAAGAAGGATGTGCAACTATGACATACGACTATCTACTGGGGCTTTGGGGAGAAAAAGGGAAAAAAAGGAGGAGGATTGGCAATAGATCTTAGCACAGGGCCTGTCTTCCTCAGCAAAAAGAGGAGGATTGGCATGGATGTTAGCTCAGGGCTGATCTTCCTCACAAAAAAAAAAAAAAAGTGGAGGGCAAATTTTGAGGTTACTTCCATAAAAAAAATTCAGATTCCTTCCCACCCCCATCTCATATTTAGTGATATTATACAAATTCAGGTAATTGTTATTTACTATTCTAACAGAATAATTTAATTCAGTGTGATTGATCAATAGCATAAAGGCTCCTGTTGGCCCCAAAAGTATAGTTAAGCTACTTTTACTTTCAATCAGAAGTTCTGGCAAACATGTTCAAAAAAGATAGAAGCAATCAATAGCCTGTGTGTTCTGGATAAAATGATGGATTTAACTTAAGGAAAGATTAATTTTGAGTATACTCACAGACTCAACAGTTTCCTCCTACACTGTGGGGCAAAGATGATAACTAGCCTCTTAGCACAAAGCTTTGGGTGAAGAACATACAAAAAGAGAATTAAAACTTTGAGTGTGTCACAGAGTCAACAACTTGCAAATAAATCCAGGATGCAAATAATATATGAACTGAAAGCAAAAAATTACAGAAAGCAATACAAATCGTTGTTTAACTTTTAATTCTAGCCAATTAGAAGGTGAACACACTTCTCAAGGCCATTTAAACTGCAGAAGGAATCTTTTCAAAAGCACACAATGATCAATACGAGAACCCAGCTATAGGATACAAATGGACGTGTTTACTCCTCCATCACTGCTATCAAAGCAATTCAAAGTATACTCTGCGGGCGGCCCCGTGGCTTAGCGGTTAAGTGCGTGCGCTCCGCTGCTCGTGGCCCGGGTTCGGATCCCGGGCGCGCACCGACGCACCGCTTCTCCGGCCATGCAGAGGCCGCATCCCACATACAGCAACTAGAAGGATGTGCAGCTATGACATACAACTATCTACTGGGGCTTTGGGGGAAAAAATAAATAAATAAAATTAAAAAAAAAAACCACAAAAACAATGTATACTCTGCAACCTGAAGTGATATAAACAAGATATACAAAGAACTGTCTCTGAGGGTCTTCAGAACTAAAATATGTTCATCTATTTGCTCTGGTTTAATTATAAGCTATTTGAGAGCAGTGAAACGAACTTGAATGGAGTTTTCAACTATCCAGAATTAATGGAATAGATACATAAATCTGCATAATAGAAAATAATTTGTAAACACATAGGCTTACTCTATGTCAGGTACTATTTTAAGAGCTTTATATATATTAACTCATATCCTCACAGGAATCCTATGATATAGTGCCATTATAAGCTCACTTTACAAATAAAGCTGAGGTAATTATGTGTCCTAGATCTCTAGATCACACAGCTAGACAGAGCCAGATTCGTTTGGTTCTCGGGTCTGTGCTCTACGCTCTTAAATCACTACACAAGCAGCTCTCAAAGTATCGTTCATGGACCCTGGAAAACCCTGAAATCATTTCAAGAGAGTCCATGAGGTCAAAACTATTTTAATAATAATATTAAGATGTATGTGCCCTTTTCACTTGTTTTGACATTTGCACTGATGGAACAAATGCACCAGTGGGTAAAACTGCTGGAACCATACCGCGAATCAAGGCAGGGGCAGCACACTGTGCTAGAATCATTGTGGTCATCACTGCCAGGCACTCACAGCAAAGAAAAAAAAAAATTTTAAAGCCGGTTTCACTTAAGAATATCCTTGATGAAGCAGTAAAATTAATTTTATGAAATTTCAAACTTTGAGGACAATATTTTGTGTGAAGAAACTGAAGTATCCATAAAGCACTTTTACTGCATACACAAGTATGATAGTTGTTTTGAAGAAAAACATGTGCAATTATATGAATTGTGAGCTAAAACAGTCAGGTTTTCTTTTTATGGTACACCACTTCTATGTGAAAGAAATTGACAAACTTTGGTTATTCTGATCTGGGAAGAAAGCGATCTCACTTCAAGGAAAAAGACTAAAAATATTCATTGACAATGAAAAAATTCGAGCTTTCAAGGAAAAAATTTAGAAAACTCAGCACCACTACCATAAGTCTGACCAAACACTGGAAGACTCTGGGGATCAGTGATGATATTAATGAATGTGATCTTTTTTTTTTGATATTGTATGGCATAATGTATCAACATTTGGAAGATCTGCATAACTCAATGGGCCAATACTTTCCAAATGACCAATGCATAATGTTACAAAATCAGGCATGGGTAAAAGATCCATTCAAAGTGAAAAATAAACTAATGGATTTTAATGTATAACAGATTATGAAGAGTTTATTGATTTCGCCTTGCATTTAACCTATAAGAAATTACTACTTGTTGAGTTTTAGTATAGTATCAAAGAAGAAGAACCATAACTGTCCGGAAAGGCTATTAAATACTGCTCTCTCCTCAAAGTATGTATCTGTGTGAGGTCATATTTTCCTCCTATAATTTAACCAAAACAACATAGTACATGCAAAAGACGGAATGAAGAAGCAGATATGGGAATCTAGTTGCCTTCCACTAATCAGTAATTAAAGACATTTCCAAAAATGTAAAATAACACCACTCTTCTCACTAAACATTTTTTATTTGGGGAAAAATAGCTATTTTTTCTAAAATATGTGTTATGTTAAAATATAATGGGGCTTATTATTGTTATTTTAAAGTATATTAATACATTATTTTAAATTTCTCAGTATTAATGACTAGTAAAGTAAATATTGATAGATATAAACTCCCAAAAAACAAAAGCTCTTTGGGGTCTTCATTAATTTTTAAGAGTGTAAAGTTTCCTGAGACCAAAAAGTTTGAGAACTGCTGCACAAAGCTACACTGTCTCTCCTCTACTCTTGTGAGTGTGTGTGTGTCCATGTACACATTGAGGGGATGGAGGGAACAACAGCCCTTGGCTGCTTCTCTATTCACTATTCATCTTCTGGAGCTTTGTTTTGCTTCTGAAGTAGGATTCCCTATACTTCCCTACTGGGAAGAGATGTACTGACCACAAACATGAAAATTATCTTGGCAAATGATAATTCTATAATTCAAAAAACTGTTATTCAGCATTAAAAAAAAGTAGTATTTTGACTAAGCAGAAAAACAGTAATAATAAATTAGAAAGCTATGAGGGTTAAATGACCAGAAAACCTGTTTGAGCACTCCTGAATGTTTGAAGAACACAAAGTTAAACATGTGATTCACAGACAGACTATATTTATAATGTAAGGCAAATACTGATATAAGTACAACATAATATAATATACCACCTATTCAAATCCTATCCATCCTTGAAGATCCAGCTGAGATATAAGCTTCTTAAAAATATGCCCTAATCACACAGCAGATGCTCAATAAATGTTAACTGAGAAAATAAACTGATTAAAATTATTCTCCTTCCTCAGAGCTGCCATTAAAATTAGTCAGGATATCTCTAGCAATCACATATGTGTGGCCTTATGTGTACTTCTAACGGCAGTTCATAGATTTTACACACACACACGCACACACACACACAGAGGCACTCACACTTTCACATATGTATACAAATGTAAGTTACATATTGATTTCTTGATAGCTTTTTTTTTCTAGTGGCGTTCCAATAGATCTCAAATTAAATTTCCCAAATTGGGGAAAACCAATGATCAATACAGCCTGTATCTATAGGAAAATTTTCTTAAATTCTAAATAACATACAAATAAAGTTGCAAACTTGATTCATTTATAACTTGAGTCAGTAATTACCCTGACATTGAGCCAATAATTCTAAAATTGGAAATTGACGGAATTTCCTGGACCTAACAAATACTTTAACAAAAAAAGAATCAAACATATGAGTCATAAAAGGTATAGATGAGATCTGCTTTTAGAAAGCCTAAATCAAGAAAAATCACTTTATAAGAAATTACATTAACAGCTTAATTATTCTTTTGTAATCAAATTTGTCTTAAATAAAAATACTAAATATCACACTTTCATTTTGCACAATCACTGGTATTATCATTTGCATGATCATCAATTGATTCGACATCCACCCATTCCTTTAACAATGGTTGAATATTTACCATATACCAGATGACCACTGGCAGAAGCTGTGACCACTTCTCTAAGCGGTTTCCTGGACTTCAGCTTGCATATTACCCTTTTTATTAACTATTTAGTGAGTAGAGGAAAAATAATGTGAATTTGATAGCTGCTTGCACAATTTAATCTGTTGTTTCAGGCTGGTGAGTGGTTTGGAGGCTTTCAGAGGGAAGCAGAGGAAAAAGTATTCCAGACTCACATTCAGACTCATTGAGACTATGTAGGTTGACAGTAACAAAATGATCTTGATCAAGTCACTTATCCTCTAAAAGTTTTACCTGTAAAATGAGGAAACTGAAGACAGTTGATATGGGTCTTCCAGCTTTAAACTTCCATAATTCTATTTAGGGCTGTGAACATTTAGCATAGGAAGAGTAAGTGGGGCAGGAGATTAAATGCTACTTAACGGGAAAACAAAAGCAGTGTAAATGACTCATCTTAGTTATTTAAAAAATATACTATACATTAATTGTTTTTTCTTAAATTAAAAAACTCAAATAGTAAAATGAACAGTATTCAGAAAGAATCACTTGAAAGATTCTGAAAACATATTACAAAATATCCTTATAAGTACATAGTGTCTTGAAAACAGAAAAAGAAAATATTATAATTGATGTAATTTTAATAACTATGATTTATTGAATGCCTACCAACTCATCTCATCATGCAATAATCTGGTAAAATAGGTATTTTTATTCCTATTTTAAAATGAAGAAACCAAGGCTCAGATAGATTAAATAATTCATCCAAAGACACTAAGCTAAAAAATGGCATAGCTGGTATTCCAACCTGGGTCTGTTGGATTCCAAAGCAATCCTCTTTCCACTACAACATCGTAATGCATTTTGATTCCTACAAATGACACTCTTTTTTATAGTCAAGTTTCAGTTACTAATGGTAATGGGAAAAGGAAAAATATGGAAAAATAAATCCCACACAAACATGGTGTAAACAGCTTATGACATGGAACAAATTCCAGTAAAATGAGTTCTGGGACTGAGTGAGATTCTAGATCAGATGGCTTCTCAGGCAACTTCCAAGTGTCAAATTCAAGTAATATTCTCAATTCACTGAAGCTTAATGAGGTTATCTAATCCATTTGCCCACTCATTACAGAAATTTATATTACATGAATTGTAGATGGATTACAAATAGTCAGTACATAATTTAAAGGAATAATATGGGGAATCTTCTTAGGAAAGGATCCAAGGCTTGTTTTTTTTTAAAGTTTCTATTTTCTTTCATTGAGTTTGTTTAAAAGAAAAAACACATTGAAAATTCAAAAGGCTATTTTAACCCTGGCTAATAATGCTTTTTTAAAGACAGGAAAAACTTGCTCCAGAGGAGAATATAGTGATTTCATTTTTCATTTCCATGTACTTTTTCTGTTCTTAGGGTGAGACAACAAAATTGCCACACACACACAAAAAATGTTCTGAAGAAAATTAAGTAGGACAAGTCCAAGAAAATTTACCACTAGAAATTTATTCTTGGATAATCAAGAGGAAACTGAGAAAGATTTCTAAGTATTATACAGGATAAAACTAAAAGCAAATGACATGAAACTAACAGTTGTCTTATATTACAACCTATTACAAATAACCAAGCAGCAAGAAACAAAATTAAATATAACTATTAACTTATTAATTAAAATATTTAATGAAATATAAAGTCAGAACCTACTACTTAGTCTCTTAGTTTTCCAGAAATAGGATCATTTCAAAAAGTCTGATCAATCAAGGAAATTTGTAAGCTGCCAGGTATAATTTAAACATTAAAGTGCAAGTCTAAGGTGCCATCAAAAATACTGTGGTCATCTATAGAACATTCCAAACAACCACAGCAAAATACACATGCTTTTCAAGTATACATCTTGGAACATGCACGAAGATAAGCCATATTCTGGGCCAAAAAACAAGTATCAAAAAATGTAAAATAACTGAAATCATATAGAATGTCTTCTGACCACAATGAAATTAATTTAGACATCAACAACAGAAAAATATCTGGAAAATTCCCAAATATTTGGAAAATAAACAGCACACTTCTAAATGACCCATGGGTCAAAGTAGAAGCCACGAGGGAAAATCGGAAATATTTTGAACTGAATGAAAATGAAAGAACAATTGTATCAGTTCAGGTTCACCTAGGGAAACAGAACCACTAGGATATATATATAACCAGTAAAGAATTGGCTTGTGCAATTCTGGGGGCTAGCTAGGCACGTCTGAAATCCAAGAGATTTGGCTTCAGCATTTGAGCGAGCAAGCCATCAGGTAGGGCAAGCTGGAACTCGCTGCACAGCACAAGCGGAAGCTGCTATCCACACACGGGATTGCTTCCTCTTTAGGGGAGCCTCAGCTCTGCTTCTCAGCCTTTCAACTGACTGAATCAGACCCCCAGATTATCTTGCGTCATCTGTTTTACTTAAAGTCACTGATCATGGACTTTAATCCTGTCTACAGAACACCTTCCCAGCAACACCCATATCAGTGTTTGATTAAACAACTAGGGTCTATAGCCTAGCCAAGTTGATGCATAAAATTGGCTATCATAACAACATATTAAAATTGGTGAGATGCAGAGACAGCAGTGCTTAGAGGGAAATTTAGGGCTTTAAATGCTTACGTTAGAAAAGAAGAAAGTCTGAAATCAACTATCTAAGCTACCAGCATAAGAAGCTAAAAACAAAACAACAACAACAAAACAGACAAGAAGAAGAAAAAGGAGAAGAGGAGAACGAAAAGAAACAAATTAAACAGAAAATAAGTAGAAAGAAGGAAGTAGGAGGACTACTTGATTTCAAGAATTACTATTATAGATCATGTAAGTAGATATCTCAAGACTTTTAATGACATATAAGCTGTGCCAATTTGGAAAATTCCCAGCTCCAACTTATCCCTACTTGCCATGCTCCAGATATAACTTTCACAGAAGTTGAGAGCTGCATGTATCCTTGAAGGTGGAAAGTAGTTCAATCCTTTCATTTTCAAGAAAAGAACACCCAAGGTCAAACAGCTGGAAAAAAGGTGTGCAAGGACTAGAACCCTGGTTTCCAAAATCCTTTCCCACAGCTTTTCCCATTGTAATATACTGTTTCCAAGTTGCCTTACACGTCACTAAAAATCTGCCACACTTAGGCCACTGTGCTGCAGTAACCATTGGGAAAACATACCACCATACTGATCCACTCATTGTCTTTTACTTCTTAAGTTTATCCACAGGCTAGCACCTGAAGCACTTTATGTGAATGAGAAAAGGGCACCTGCTCTGGGGGAACCTCCTAGGAAATAAAACACCTTCTCTCAGCTGGAAGATTAGAAAAAGGCACCCCTTCCTTGGGGTGGCACCCCAAGGGGGGGCACTCACAGTGCACAAGGCTTGGTGAGTGGAGCCCCAGCTAGATTCCAGCACATACTCACACCCCATGTCTATACCCTCTTTTTCAGGTCACAATCTGCACAACTGTCTTCAGTAGCCCTGCATATCAATCATTCACCATCTTATCAAATGCAGAAAATCAAGTAATGTCATTCTACAAAAATACTCCATTCATAAATGAGTCAAATATGAAAAAAAAAAAACTTTAAAAACCATATCTTAAAACTCTTAAGTGTATCTTAAAACTCTTGGCATACCAAAGTTCTAATATTATAAATATTCGAGCAGGATCACAATGTTAAGAGTAGACAGGAAAACTTATCATCAATACTTCATTTTAAAAAGTGACATTTTATGTTTGTTTTGTTTTGTAAGATTTGAAGTGTTTCTGTAAGTGCTACAATAAAAAAACACATAGAAGGAAAAAATAAAGCGACATGTTTTCCTAAGCAATGAATGTCATCATTGAATTTTCAGCAAGGACATTTATCTTTCTAAAATAAAATAGTTGCATACAATAGCTAAAGTTAGCATTTTATCTTTTAAATTTGTTTCCTTAAGTGAACATGTCCATAATCACATTTGTAGACACATGCTATTTTTGTTTTATGAAGCTGTCAGTAAGTTTTTATTATAAACAGGATGTTCTCAAAAATAATACTTCCATTTTTTTAAACATTCAAAATGAAAGAAATGAAATAAAAATAGTAATTAATAATTTAAGTAAAATGCAGCAGATTAGCAAACCCAATATCTTAAAAGAGAACATTTCTTTCACTAGCAAAATTACTCCTACAATCTACTTATTCCAGTTTAAGTTCTGGTTGTTGGCAGTATAAACCTGCCTTAAAACACACCTTCAGGAAAACTAATTAACCTCATCTGACTTAACATTTTACTTGGGATTTCCTATACATTTAGAGTACTCAGTCTGTCTATGCCATTTGGCACTTTTTAACGTATTACTTTCTTAAGTAATTTCATATCCTCATGTTTTACAGAGCATGATTAAGGCAATAATCGCATCTGATGCAGAGTGCATTCTCTGTAGCCAAGGGAGGGATGTAAGAGATGGGAGAACCAGGATGCTTATAAAGGACAGTGGCAACTAATTTTTTTTCTAGGTAGGCTTGGCTTGTCTCTCTAAACTGTCCTCACGGACTAGGTTCATCTCTTCTACTTCATTGGTACCATACTCCTTAAATACATACATCCCCTTAAATATTACTCTGATGGCTAGATATGCTCAATAAGTATTGCCGGTTACCAGGCAAATTAATTTTTCATTTTATTTTGAAATATGCCATGGTTGATACTTACCTTGTAGAGGAGATACCATGAGCATGAAATATGCCATGGTTGGAAGAGGATACCAGAAAGTGAGCTGTTCTGTGGTTGTTAAATGAGAGAGTTGGATCGTGCCACATCAAAGACACTTTAAACTCTACAATCATAGGCCATCAATGGCATCATGTTTTAAAAGTAGTCTTATATACATTATTTCATTTGATCTGACCACAACCCTATTGAGATAGGAAGGGCAGGTATTAACCACATTTTACAAACGAGGAAACAGATTCAGAAATGTTGATTTGTTCTGATCTCATTTAAAGTAAATAATGCTGGGATAGAATCTAAGTCTTCATAGATCACAGTTGCCATTACATTTGAGTAACATTCATTATACAAATAAAATTTTTAGCATAGTGCTAGAAATAAAATTTGTTTTCATCTTGCCACTATGTAGATTCACTCCTCTTCCTAAACTACCAACTCATTTACTATAGTGATTTGGTATTGATTTTCAAATTATAAAAAGTGAAATAAATATAATTATCTAATACAGTTACCTCACCAAACCCTCCTACTCATATAATTCCTCTCCAAAAATGTAGAAATCCGATATTCACTCAACCTTGAATCTTTCAAATTAATATACTCTAGTTGAAAAAAGAAGTTGATCTATGTTTATTTGTATATTTGAATTAACACATAAATCAAGCAAAATGAGTTATATTTGCACTTTACTATCCTGGAAGGTATCTCATGATCCGGTCCCAACCTATCTTTCCAGCTTTATTTCCAACTATATCCTCTCCTCTAGTCATAACAGATTGTTCCTCAAATACACTCTGTACTTTTCTCAGTTTCCTCTCCTGGAAATTCCCTTCTCCACCCATTTCCTCTTATTCAAACTCTACCCCTTCTTCAAGGCCTAGCATTAATGCTATCTACTTACATACATGCAGACTTCCTGACCCCTAAAGTCAAAATTAATCTCTCGCTCCTCCATAGAGCTACTGTACTTTCTCGGAACCTCTTTTTATATAGAGTTCATTGTGCACAGATGGCTATCTATCTGGCTCAGCTGAGAGCTTTTTTGTGGGCAAGGGTAGTATCTATCTTTATCTTTATATCTACCAAATGCTTATTGTAGACATTTGAAAAAATGTTTGCTGAATGCAAATTACCAAGCAAACAGAACACTGTCTTAGTTCAAGTTTTCATCATATCTTACCTGGACTTGGACTGTTAAAGCAGTCTCCTGGTTGGTCTCCTCAACCAATACTGTCATGTACAAAATCTCAACCTTCTTCAATGCAAAAATTATTATTCCAACCATCATATTAATACCATTAACATGATTATCAAAAAATAACATAATTTAAATTAGCACCACAACTTATAGTCTATTAATCAGCTTCATTAGCCTATTTCTCCTAAATCGACTTAATGATGTCTTAATTTCTCACTAATCTTCTCTGATTCCTTATCAGCATCTCTGTTAATGTTAACGACATGACTTCTTCCACTAATACTCACAGCCATACAATTTCATCTATCCAAAGAACCATCAATCCAAAAAACCCCACACATTACAATACTAATTATACTACAAATATTCTTAATTATAACCTATACTGCCACAGAATTAATCCTATTCTACATCCTATTCAAAGCAACATTAGTCCCAACCCTAATCATCATTACCTGCTCAGGAAATCAGACAGAACGACTAAATGCAGGACTCTATTTCCTATTTTGTACACTAGTAGGATCACTCCCACTTCTTGCTGCACTGATCTTCATCCAGAACTTTATAGGTTTGCTAAATTTCCTGATAATCCAACACTGAGTCCAAACAATGCCCAACTCTTGATCCAACATTTTCCTATGATTGGCATGAATAATAGCATTCATAGTAAAAATATCTCTTTATGGCCTCCACCTCTGATCACCAAAAGTACATGTAGAAGCCCCCATTGCTGGCTCCATAGCACTTGCAGCTGTACTACTTAAAAAAGGTGGTTACGGGATATTATGAATTACAACAATACTAAATCCCTTAACAAATTACATGGCATACCCTTTCCTTATATTATCCTCATGAGGAATAATTATAACCAGTTCAATCTGCTTACGCCAAACAGACCTAAAGTCACTCATTGCATACTCCTCCGTCAGCCATATGGCTTTAGTAATCGTAGCCGTTCTTATCCAAACACCATGAAGCTATATAGGAGCTACAGCCCTAATAACTGCTTTACATCCTCAATACTAATCTGCCTAGCAAATTTAAACTATGAACAAATTCACAGCCAAACTATAATCCTACCTCAAGGATTCCAACACTCCTTCCACTAATAGCAGCATGATGATGATTAGCAAGCCTTACCAATTTAGCCTTACCCAGAACAACCAATCTTATCAGAGAACTATTTTGGTAATATCATCATTCTCATGGTCTAATATTACTATTATTCTAATAGGAATTAACATTATCATCACCATTGTCATCATTTACATGAGAAAAATGCCCTCATAACCTTACACTTAATACCCTTTTTACTCTTATCATTTAACTCCAAAATTATTTTGGGACCCATATACCGTAAATATAGTTTAACAAAAACATTAGATTGTAAATCTAATAATAGAAACTTAAAACTTCTTATTTACCAAGAAAGTAGGCAACAAATGCTAATTCATGCCTCCATAGGTAACAATACAGTTTTTTTAAACTTTTAAAGGATAGAAGTAACCCATTAGTTTTAGGAACCAAAAAGTTGGTGCAACTCCAAATAAAAGTAATAAATATATTTGCTTTTTTTATTCTAATTTCACTATTTATACTAATTTTACCAATCATAACCGCCTCTAGCATCCACAAAAATGACCTATACCCACATTATGTAAAAACTACCATTTCATATGCCTTCATCACCAGTCTAATTCCCACAACAATATTTATTTACTCAGGCCAAGGAATAATTATTTCAAAGTGGCACTGAATAACTATGCGAACCCTAAAATTATCACTTAGCTTTAAACTAGACTATTTCTCAATAATATTTATATCAGTAGCACTTTTCATTACACAATTATAGAATTTTCAATATGATATATATATTCAGACTCCAACATTAATCTATTCTTCAAATACTTATATTCCTTATTAATATATTACTTTTAGTTACCGTCAACAATCTCTTCCAACTCTTCATCGGATGAGAAGGAGTAGGAATCATTTCATTCCTAATAACTGGATGGTGATATGGCCAAACAGATGCAAACACTGCTGTCCTCCAAGCAATTCTATATAATCGCATCAGAAATATTGGATTTACTATATCAACAGCATGATTCCTATTTCACATAAACTCATGAGACTTCCAACAAACCTTTATACTCAATCTCAATCATATTAATCTTCCATTAACTGGACTTCTTTTAGCCAGAACTGGCAAATCCACCCAATTTGGCCTCCACCCATGACTCCCCTCAGCCATAGAAGGTCCCATACCCATACCAGCCCCACTTCATTCAAGTACAATAGTTGTAGCAGGTGTTTTCTTACTAATTCATTTTTATCCACTAATAGAAAATAGTGAAACCATTCAAACATTAACACTCTGCCTAGGAGCTATCACCACATTATTCACAGCAATTTGTGCCCTTACCCAAAATGATATCAAAAAAATCACAGCCTTCTCCACCTCAAGCCAACTAGGCCTAATAACAGTGACTGTTGATATTAACCAACCATATTTAGCATTCATTCTTTAAAGCCATACTATTTATATGTTCTGGATCCATTATCCACAACCTAAATGATGAACAAGATATTCAAAAAATAGTGGCCTATTTAAATCAATACCTTTCACCACAACTTCACTCATTATCAGGAGTCTTACACCGACAGGCATGCCTTTCCTCACAAGCTTTTACTCCAAAGACTTAATTATTGAAACCACAAACACATATACCAACACCAGAGCCCTACTAATTACTCTCATTGCCACTTCCCTAACAGCCTCTACAGTACCCGAATTACCTTCTTTGCCAATATTGGCAGTCTTTGCCTGGTCGGTCTTGGCTCCCTCCAGTTTATTTTCCATATTACTACGCAGTGATCCCTCTAAGACAAAAACCTAATCATGTCACTTTCCAATTTTAAACCTTTATTTTGTTCTCCATCATCTAAAGGACAAAGTCCAGTTTCTAAATATGCCATACAAGGCCCATCTTGATCTGGCCTTGGTCTACTTCTCTAACACTTTCTACTATAGATGTGCATCCATGTGCACAGAAGTTCCCACAGTTGTCAGGATATCAAACTCTCATCTATTCCCTTGCCTGTACCATCTGCATCCTTGGTCCACCATTCTATTTCATTTTTTATGCCTTATTTCAGGGGAGGTATAACATGGCAGTTAAATCAAACCTGTGTTTAAATCATAGATTGTCCAGTATTTGGAGAGTAATCCTGAGTAAATTAAACTCTGATACAATTGAAGGAAGATTGGAAAGCTCTCTAACGTCACCATTCTTCCCTCACTCTCTTTGCAATACCTCTCTGCTCCTATGCTTAGGTGGGCAACTTCAGCATTTTGTGCAAAAACTAAGAGCCAGCATTAGACTCTAAGCTCTGGGTTCTGTGTAGGTAGAAGTAATTAAGTTCCAGATTTAAAAACAAATAAGCTTTAACCTTCATTTTCTTCTAGCCCCTTATTCACTATATACTAAGATGTGAAGTAACAGTACATAGAACATTTTAAATACTTTTTTGCTTACAACAATGATCTATCTCAGCAAGGATGTATATTTTCATATATTGTTTGCCTCACAGATCTTTGGTACTTGTTCAGATCTTTTGTCCATTTCTTAAATGGGCTCATTTGTTTTCTTATTGTTGAGTTTTAAGAGTTCTTTACATATTCTGGATACAAGTCTTTTATCATATCTATCATTTGCAAATATTGCTTCCCAGTCTGTGGCTTGTCTTTTCATCCTCTTAACAGCATCTTTTGCAGAGCCAACATTTTTTGATTTTGATGAAGTCCAACTTACCTGGACTTATCTGCAGCATTCATGCTTTTTGTGTCTAAAAACTGTCAAATCCAAGTTCATACAAATTTTCTCCTAAGTTTTCTTCTAGAAGCTTAAGAGTTTTACATTTTACATTTAAGTTCATGATCCATTTTGAGTTAATTTTTGTATAAAGTGTGAGGCATGTGTCAAGGTTCATTTTTTGGCACACAGACCACCAAGGATGTAATGTTCTAGATTTGGGTAAACAGCATGTATGTAAGCAGCCCCTCTAGTTCAAAGTGTTACAGCTCTATATAAGGATTTCTTTCTGTTCTAAGAATCAGAAAGACAATGGAACAAACACAAAAAAAATTAACATAAGTAGAACTTAACTAATGTGAAGCAGAAAAAGACCGCTGTAGCTTGCAATACCATACTAAGGCTAGGCAATTGCTCTGCCTGGAAACTGGGCGTTTTTCAACCTTGAAGAGCCCAGATGGGGTGAATCTCTTTGGTATGATCTATTTCCATGCCATATTTATAGCTTTGCAGGGGTTTTATTTGTTTGCATTTTGTTTTAACTTAGTTTAGTTGGCAGGTGTTCATCTATACCAGACTTCAGCAGTTACAGTGTTGTAAAAAAGAATGATTCAAAGATACATACAGTATGAACTTACAAACATTCTTAAAATGTCACTTTAAAAACTTTGTAAAAAAACAAACTGCTATTAATTTTCTCATATGCAAATATGACTTTTATGTTTTCTGTTGGAATAAACAGTATTTTATCAGTGTTTTGTAAAAAGTACTTTGAGTTAGTAAGAGCTTTTATACATAGCAAAAGGCTTTCTATGACCTTAAACTCCATGAATTAAGGTAACTCAAACATCCTCCCATATTATGGCCATAGCACCAAAGACCCAAAGCAGTGATGCTACAATTCAATCATCCTTAGGTTGTGATCCCCCTACAGAGGCCAGGCTCCTAGGTGTTCAATTTTTGTTCCAGGCTGTACTTAAGTCCTATAACAAGTGTTATGTCCCTTTCTTCCTAGTGAAAATTGTTGCTATTCACTGGCACCGCTAGAAACATAGCTAGTTTGGCTAGGAGAAGGGACCCTCTCATTTTGTCTTCCTAGAGTAGAGTGACCATTATCTTCTGCAAACATCTGAGCCTAGTATCAAAAAAGACAAGATAATCTAGATCCAGACTTGTTTTTTTAACCTTGTTTACCTTTATTCACCTATGCTCCCAACATATAGGAAAAGGTTAAGCAACATGTGTATTCTCATCACTAATTAATTGGCTACAAAAACTATGAGCAAAGACCTTTAAATATCTACTAAAATGCTTCTCCAAAATTCTTTCCATACCACAGAGCATAGGTCAAAACAATAAAAGGAACAAAACATAATTTTTAAAACTTCACCTGGAATACTGATAAATCCTACCTGAGAATATAATAGTGAGCCTGAAGCCAAACAATTAAGGCTGGTGAATAACTCTGCAATGTTATCCTGGCCTTCAATTTCTGGGTTACTCTCCAGCAGCATCAGGATTAAACATTCTCACCATCTATCACATTAAATGTACTTTCACAGGTCAGCTACATATCTTTCTTTCTAGGTGACTGATCATGTACATAAAAACTGCACCTAAAACTAACTGAGTCTTACCAAACAGCAGTAGGATATAAAATACCAGGACTGTAACACTCTAGTCTTTGTCTGAAGCCTACATGATATCTTTCTAAACTGTTTGAAGCCAAGCCAAGGGTTTTTCTTTTTAACTTTCTCAAACAAAGTCTGTCTTTAAGAGATTTCAAGTTACTGTCAATATTATGAACAAATAAGTATATTCGAAAATTTTCTATTAATTTGTAATGATTAATAAAACTAAAAAATGAAATGCTTATCTAAAAGGAAGAAGAAATTGGCAGGAAGTCATTATATAACTTTCAAAGTTAAGAAAACATTCTTTTTCATAGAACCAAGAAAATCAAATATATAGGAACGAACAAATCTAACTTCCTATCTGTTGAGTACCTATATACCTTTGATCTAATGAATTTCTAGAACAAATTGAAAATAAAAATTAAAAAGAAATGATTCAGTACTTAAGCTCATATACCAAGTAATATCTGCCTTTGACCACAAGAAAAGTACTTTTCAGTAGGAACAGAAACCTATCCACTATCATATAATAAATTTGAGACTGTTTAAACAAGATTATTCTTTAAAGAAGCAGCTAAATCAAACCATAAATTTTAAAATGGAAAGCAGACTAAGTTGACATCACAAAATTAGCAATTAGCAAAACCAGGAAAATGTATTAAGGATCTTCTCTTAAAAAAAAATTTAGGGGGCTGGCCCCGTGGCGCAAGCGGTTAAGTGCGTGTGCTCCGCTGTGGCGCGCACCGAGGCACCGCTTATCAAGCCATGCTGTGGTGGCATCCCATATAAAGTGGAGGAGGATGGGCATGGATGATAGCCCACGGCCAGTCTTCCTCAGCAAAAAGAGGAGGATTGGCAGATGTTAGCTCAGGGCCAATCTTCCTCACAAAAGAAAAAAAAGAAAGAAAAAAAAATTTAAGTGAGTAGAAGCAAAATAAATCAAATATAAAATTACATTAAAAATCTAGTAAGCCAGTGATATACTTTAAA